GTGAAGCTGAGGCACAGCATGGGTTTGGGGCCGTCATTCATTTGTACATTTGTTCATTCACTTTTATTCATTTACTCATTCATTCCAAAGTATCTGCTAATGTCTGCTGTAGGAGAAACGGTGTGACATAGTAACTAAGGGCAGATCGCCTGGGCTTGAAGCCCGTTTCTGCTATTTCCAAACTGTGTGACTTTGAGCAAGTTACTTCACCTCTTTATGGCACAGTTTCCTGATTTGCAAATTGCAGATAATAGTAGCACCTGCCTATGGAATTATAACCGAGTTAATAACACATGTAAAGTGCAGATGAAAGGAAAAAGGTTTCCCTTAAAACATTCAGATAGGAGAGATAAATGGGGTAGACATGAAACAAGATTGGGAGGATGTGGTTTATTTTTTAAACTAAGTGATGGGTAAGTACATGGACAGACATTCCACTGTTCTCTTACTTTTTACATGTTTGAAAATTTTCAGAATAAAAAATTTTTAGATATGTAATGTGTATGTAAAATATGCACACATAGCACTTAAAACGTGACCAGATACATAGTAAGCACTATCTACATATTTTCTGTTATTATTACTACTACTCATGTGAAGAGAACAACAGAGAGAGGGTCCCACCCCTCAGGCAGCTCACACTCCTGCAAGGGAGATGGACATTAGACAAATACATGCTCCAGTCAAAGAAAAAGGACCAACAGGGAGAGAGTGGGAGAGGGAAACAGAGGGTGTTAGCAGCTGGTATAACAGATGAAAATCTGGTCTTTGTGGTCGGAAAGGCTCCCTTCGTCCAGACCTGGAAGGCAAAGCCACAACTTCACCTGGGGAGTCAGGGAAGGGTTTAAAGTTTCGGAGCCTATGGTCATATTTAGGAAGATCTTTACCATTGCCAAGTGGAGGGTGGATCAGAGGGAGCAAAGGTAGGAGCTGGAGGGACCCAGGTGGGAGAGGACCAGCTGGACCACAGGAGGGCCATGGGGACGGGGAAAGGAGTGGGTACAAGAGACATTCAAGAGGCTGAGTAAACTAGCTGCAGCGGCTCACACCTGTAATCCCTGCAGTTTGGGAGGCCAAGGCAGGAGGATCACTTGAAGTCAGGAGTTCGAGACCAGCCTGGCCAACATGGCAAAATCACATCTCTACCAAATTAACTGTGTATGGTGGCCCATGCCTGTAGTCCCAGCTTCTCGGGAGGCTGAGGCAGGAGAATTACTTGAACCTGGGAGGCTGAGGTTGCAGTGAGCTTGAACCCAGGAGGTGGAGGTTGCACTCCAGCCTGGATGACAGAGTAAGACTCAGTCTCAAAAAAAAAAAAAAAAAAAAAAAAAAAACAGAGAGAGAGAGAGGCTGAGTCACCCAGGTATGGTGGCTCATGCCATTAATCCCAATACTTGGGGAGGGCAAGGCGGAAGTATGGCTTGAGGCCTGGAGTTCAAGACCAGCCTGAGCAACACAGTGAGACGCCCCCATGTCTATGTCTCCACAAGAAAATTAACTCGCTGGGCTTGGTGGTACACGCCTGTAGTCCCAAATACTTGGGAGATGAGGTGAAGGATTACTTGAGCCAAGGAACTCGGGGCTGCAGTGAGCTATGACTGTACCACTGCACTCCAGCCTGGGTGACAGAGTAAGACCCTGACTCTAAAAGAATAAATAAGAGACCAAGTAGGCCAAGTAGACTGTGGGGCTGATGAGGAGTGGGAGGGGTGAGGCCCCATATTCTGTCCCAGATGACTAGGTTCCTACCTCATAGTAGACACCATTGTGGTAGCAGCCGCATTGCTGGATGGGCACGCAGGCTTCACCGTTGTAGAGGAAGCCGGCGTCACACTGGCAGCCTTCAGCACACCCATCTGGGCACTGCAGAGGGGCACTGAGAGCCGCGCAGCCCAGGGAGCAGGTGTCCGCGCAGAGCTCGTAGTGGCTGTTCGCTGGGCACTTTATGGCTGCAAGGAGGGGGTGCCCATCAGAGCCCTGGGGAGGGAAGGGCTGCAAGGCCCAGGGTCTACCCTTCTGTGCTTCAACCTCTCCCCTCCATGCCCCTCGGGCTCTCCCTCACTCACGACAGAAAGTTTCCGTCCTCCAGGGCTTCACGTGGCCTCCAGCCGCCTGGCAAGCACTCACATAGGCATGGATGTTGCTGCAGAGAATGCTCAGGTTCCCACCACCCAGGCAGAGATCAAAGACGCAATCTTGCAAGGGACCCTGGGGATCTACTAGCTTGTGGCAGGAGGCCAGCGGCCCTGTGGCGCTGGAGAGGAGCCCACAGAACTCCTCCTTCTGATACTTCTTCTCCTGCTCAGGAGGACACTTGCTGATGTCACAGCCCTCGCTCCCTGGCAGGCAGGTGGGTGGCGGCAGGCAGGGAGAGCCAGGCACCGCCTCCTCCCAGGAGTTGCCAAAGTCATTGGCGTTGCCTGCCTGTGAGCCGTTGGGCTTCTGGAAGTCATCCTTGGGGTCGCCGTTGTAGTTCCCACACAGGCCGCACATCAGCTGGTAGTAGTTTCCGGGGATGGTGACCCGCACATAGTACACAAGGTCGTAGGCCACACGCAGGCCGAAGTCGGTCTCAATCACAACGTCTGAACCATGCTGAAAGGCTCGGATCTGGCCGTTGGCCAGCACCACGGGCAGCTTCATGTCCACACCGTTCACCTGGGAGGCGAGAGAGGCAGGCCACGCTTCAGAAAGTAAACTTTGAGTGGGGGTCGGACCCTAGTTCAAGCCCATGCCTGATGCTGAAGATCTGTGTGTCCTCACCTCTTAGGTCCTCACTTTTTGTATCTCTAAAACTGTAGAATAATAGGGCCTCATAGTGGATTGAATGGTGGTCCATAAAATGCTTATTCACCCCGAACCCCATAATGGGAGCCTAATTGGAATAAAGTTCTTTGCAGATGGATTCAGGGAAATAATGTCAACATGAGATTATCCTGAATTAAGCTGGGCCCTAAATCCAATGACAGGTGTCCTTATAAGAGCCAGAAAGAAAAAGACACAGAGACACACAGAAAGGGCCACATGAAGATGAAGGCACAGATTAGAATGGTGTGGTCACAAGCCCAGAGAACCTGGAGCCTCCAGAGCTGGAAAGGGAAAGCAAGATCCCCCAACCAGTGCCTTTGGAGGCGGTGCAGCTCTGCCGACACCCTGATGTTGAACTTCTGGCATCCAGGACTGTGGAAAAGTACATTTCTATTGTTTTAAGCCACCAAGCTTGTGGTAATTTGTTATGGCACCACGGGAAATGAACACAGGTCTCAATGAAGTAACGAGCCTCCAGCTATCCTTTATGTACCACTCGATGCAGGCATTAATAAGCAATGATCGCCCCAGAGCCACTTGCCCAAGTTCAAACAGTTTCCCCCTTACCCTCTTTGTGACCTTGGGCAAGTGAGTCACCTCTCCCTGTTTCTGTTTCCTCATCTCTCAGGTGGGAATAAGGTGTTTGCCCCATGGAACTGTTGTCAGGATCAAATAAATTAATGTCTGTAAAGTGCTGAGAAACAGGCTGGCATAGCATGCATGCTTCAGGATCATCTGCCGTTACTAGTAGCTATGAATGGAGGTTTTTCTTCTGAAGAGTAAATGGGCACCACAGGTTTATGCTTTAAAGCATCAGCGGGTGGAAAGTTAGGCTAAATTCTCGGGGAAATGAACTCAAACCTATGAGCTGAGGACCAGTGGTTTCAGTTTAAGGTTACTAGGCACCAACAAAGCCTTGTAAATCCACCCCTGAATGGGGCACAATGGCTCGTGTCTATAGTCCTAGCACTTTGAGAGGTCAAGGTGGCAAGATCACTTGAGCCCAGGAGTTCAAGGTCAGCCTGAGTAACATATGGAGATCCTGTCTCTACAAAATAAAAAACAAACAAAAAAAAATTGGTCAGGAGCAGTGGTTCACAGCTGTAATTCCAGTACTTTGGGAGGCCAAGGTGGGAGGGTCTTCTGAGCCCAGGAGTTCGAGACCAGCCTGGGCAACACAGCAAGACCTCTCTCTATACAAAAAAAATTTGGCCGAGCATGGTGGCTCACGCCTGTACTGCCAGCATTTTGGGAGGCCAAGGTGGGTTGATCCCAAGGTCAGGAGATTGAGACCATCCTGGGCAACATGGTAAAACCCCCCGTCTCTACTGAAAATACAAAAAAGTAGCTGGGCGTGGTGGCGGGCACTTGTAGCTGAGACAGGAGAATCACTTGAACCCAGGAGGAAGAGGTTGCAGTGAGTCAAGATTGAGTCACTGCACTCTAGCCTGGGTGACAAAGTGAGTTTCTGTCTCAAAAAAAAAAAAAAAAAAAAAAAGTCACGGTTGTCCAGTTCACCAGATTAAGTCAGCAATTTATCAGCACCTTCGCCAATACTGCTACTAGAAAAACAGCTGCATGTCTGTGTTTCAGTGGGATATCAGGGGAAACCCCTCCACTGTAACTGAGATGTCAGTCTCCATAGGAGACCAGATCTTCTTGGTAAGAAAAGCTCTGCAGAGCAGCACAGGGTTCAAGCTCCACCTTTGCTGGGGGACTATGGCCAGTGATGGGCCACCCCACTCTGAAAAATAAAGCACGTCATAGTGCCTGCAGCTCCTGGCGCACACATACAGACACCATGGACATGAAGTGCCTGGCGGCCAAAAGGTCTGCAGTCAGCTGTATAGAAACTATAGTTGCTCTTGTTGTTGTTGTTAAGGGGGTGATAGTGTCACCCACAGATTGTCCTCTGTCCATGAAGCTTCTCAAGCCTTGGACTTTCTCAACCTCTGATGGCACCACGTCCTGCCAATGAGTGGCAGAATAGGGAGGTGAGTAGGACAGAATCCAGGATTGAGGTGGGGAGAGGATGGAGTGGCAGGGAGGAGAGGGCGGGAGAGATTTGGAGTGAAAAGTCCATGCGGCCAGGTGCAGTGGTTCACCCCTGTAATCCCAGCACTTTGGGAGGCTGAGGCAGGCGGATCACAAGGTCAGACATTCGAGACCAGCCTGGACAACATGACGAAATCCTGTCTCTACTAAATACAAAAATTAGCCAGTCGTAGTGGTGGGCACCTGTAATCCCAGCTACTTGGGAGGCTGAGGCAGGAGAATTGATTGAACCCAGGAGGCGGAGGTTGTAATAAGCCCAGATTGCACCATTGCATTGTAGCCTGGGTGACAGAGCGATACTCCATCTCAAAAAAAAAAAAAAAAAAAAAAAGAAAGAAAGAAAGAAAGAAGGAAAGAAAGAAAAAGAAAAAAAGAAAAGTCAATGCATGGAGGTGAAGAGAGGGTGGAGACTGAGGGACGGAGATTGGGAAGCAGCTCCCAAGTCCCTGAGGACACCTCCCTCATTGGCTTCCCACTCTGGGTTCTGATTGGCAGCTTCTGTCCTCAGGGACCCCAGGCCTCGCACATGCACTCTCATCTCTGTGCCCCCAACTTCTGGGCTGAGCACTGCCTGTGCCTCACCCACCCACAGGCCCCTCGCCCCCTGCTCCCCATCTGCTCTCACCGTGACCTTCCACTGTCTCTGCTCCAGCCGCAGGGTGAAGTTTCCCACCTGGACCGTGATCACCCTGGTCACACTGACTCGCCCATTACCCCAGGCCACGTTCTCCTGCAGGACGGCAAACTGATGCAGGCCAGGCCGGGTGCCGCAGGTCTGAGCCAGCACATACACGCAGGTGCCCATGAAGTCGAAGCGGCGGCCATCGAAGGTGGTGTAGTGGGGGTCTCCCGACGCCTGGCAGGTGGCAGAGCCCACGGCCACACAACCCAAGGTGCCACCGGATGGCTGGCAGGCCTCGTGCGGGCCGCAGCTGGAGGGTTGACAGGACACCAGGCCGCCCTCCTGGCAGTGGCAAAGGGAATCACACCCAGGGCCAGGGTAGAAGGTCTGGCCCAGCGGGTAGTAGCGGTCATCATGGAGGCAGCCACACTGGCCCACAGGTACACAGGTGTCACCACTGAGCACGAATCCAGCATCGCAGACACAGCCTTCACGGCAGGCCGACTCACAGCCCTCGGGGGCCGAGACGCTCGGGCAGCTCACAGGGCAGGAGTCACCACAGAGCTTGTAGTGACTGTTGGCAGGGCACTGGAAGGCTGTGAGGACAAGGTGGGCATGAGCCATGTAGGCATTCGAGTCGGGGTCTGGGGAGGCCCTGAGTGGGAAAACTCCTCAGGTCAACCTGGCTGTCTCTGGGTATGCACATGTGATCCAGGACCTCTAACTGGGGGACTCAGTGTGGGACCTGCAATGGGAGGGGACATGCCCAGGTCTCTCTGACCAAATATTTCTAAAGATCAAATGACTCTGCTTGCCTGATTTTTTTTTTTTGAGACAGGCTCTCACTCTATCTCACCCAGGCTGGAGTGCAGAGCCCCAATCACAGCTTGCTGCAGCCTCCACCTCCACCTCAAGTGATCCTCTGGCCTCAGCCTCCCGACTGGCTGGGACTACAGGGGTGAGCCACCACATCCGGCTGATTTATTAGATTTTTTGTAGAGATGGGGTCTCACTATGTCAGCCAGGATTACCTGGGTGAAATGGATCACTCATCTATTCGGGGTATGCAAGATCAGAACTGACTATGGGTATCTCAGGGTGTGAATGTGACTGGGGTATGGGGCCACATGTATCTCAGGGTATGACTCTGCCTAAGGGCACCCAGCTGTGGGTGTCTGACCTGGAGCATCTCCCAGAGTCCTTGTGACATGGTCTGTCTCAGGCTGTGCCTGGGTGAAGTTGGCAGGATACCTGTGACCAGGAGACCTGCTTGAAGGGAACCGCCTAGGACTATCCAATTATGCATCTGTGTGGATCTGCCCAGGGCTATGTCAGGATCCTGATTCTTTCTGAGTGTATCTGACCAGTTAGTATAAAATCTAAGCAGATACCACTGAAGGCATGCGACTAATTCTGTGTGGCTAGGTGTATTTTAGTGTGTGCAACAGACCAGGGCCCTGTGACCAGCTGTAACTCACTAGGTCTTCCTAACCAAGGGTACCCTGCTATGTGATTGAGGCAGGGTCAGTCATCCCAATCTACATGCCTTGGATGTCTGAGAACATGGATCACCAATCCCCAAGAGTGTCCTGGACCCTGGGTTTCTGACTAGGTGTTTCTTTTCTTCCTGTTTCTTTTTTTTTTTTTTTTTTTTTTGAGGTGGAGTCTCTGTTACCCAGGCTGGAGTGCACTGGGGCGATCTCGGCTCACTGCAACCTCTGCCTCCTGGGTTCCAGTGATTCTCCTGCCTCAGCCTCCCTACTGGCTGGGATTACAGGTGCCCGCCACCACACCTGAATGAATTTTGTATTTTTAGTAGGGACGGGGGTATCACCATGTTGACCGGGCTAGTCTCGACTTCCTGACCTCAGGTGATCTGTCTGCCTCAGCCTCCCAAAGTGCTGGGATTACAGGCGTGAGCCACCACGGCCAGACTCTCAATACCTGTTTCTAACTGAATCTCTCTCACTGCAGTACCTGACTTGGGGCATTTCAGTGTGTGAGAGCCAAGGTGTTTCCTGACAGGAGATACCCAGCTCAGAGGAAGGAAGGCGGCCCCTGAGCCCCATGGAGGAGGAAGGGGCTGCTGTCTTACAGTCCTGGAAAGGAAAAGGCAGGGAGGGACCCTACTATGGGGACCATGCATGGAGCAGTACTCACGACAGAAGTCCGGCCGCCTCCACTCGCCGAGCTGGGCCCCAGCGGCCTGACAAGCTGCCACGTAGGCGGCCACTGCAGGACAGAGGCCTCCAGGATGGCCCTGAACTTGGCAGGCGTCCAGCAAGCAGCCCTGGAAGTACTGCGCGGGCGGCACGAGGCCGTGGCAGGGCGCCAGCGGGCCGTCGGTGGCGGAGATCACGCCGCAGGCGTTCGGGCCAGCGAAGGACTCCTGCTGCTCTGGGGTGCACTGCGACGGGCAGGGCAGGGGCACACATTCTCCGCAGCCCGGAGCGCCGCCCACCTGCCATCCAGCAGGCTTCCCGTCCACAGCCTTCAGGTCGTCGGCGGGGTCCTGGTTGTAGTTCCCGCATAAGCCACAGAGAGCGCCCGCGTACGCCGCCGGCACCCGCAGGCGCACAAAGCTGTCCCCATCGAAAGTCAGCGAGAGCCCTGAGGTTGTGGTCACCACCACGTCGGCGCCGCTCAGGTGTGCGTGCAGCAGCGAATCCAGCTGGAAGGGCAGAGCCACAAACACGCCGTCCACCTGCGGGCGGGGGTTGGGGGATCGATAAGCAGAGCGAACACGGGTTTGAATCCTGGCACCACCACCTACTAGCTGTGGGACCCTGAGCATGTCACCTCCCCTCTGAAAATAATAATGAGCATCTATAGGCCGGGCCTGGTGGCGCAGCCTACAATCCCAGTACTTTGGAAGGCCGAGATGGGAGGATGGCTTGAGGCCAGAAGTTCAGACCAGCTTGGGCAACATAGTGAGACCCCCATCTCTCCAAAAAAAAAGAAAAATTAGCCAGCGTGGTGGCGGCGCCTTTAGTCCCGGCCACTGGGGAGGCAGGGGCCAAGGTGGGAGGATCGATTGAACCCAGGAGTTCCAGGCTGCAGTGAGCCCTAATCCTGTCACTGCACTCCAGCCTGGGCAACAGAGTCAGGCTAAGAAAAAAAGAAGAGAGAAAGAAAAGCAAGAAAGAAAAAAAGAAAAGAAAAAAAAAGAGCCTCTATAGGCACATGTCACTGACTCCTCATCCTTTTCTACAACAGGTACTTTTCTTAGACCAGTTTACAGAGGAATACAGTAGGCTCAGAGAGGAAGAAGCTGCGATGCCAAGCCATCAGGCTACCAGACCTATCCTCTGACCCTTCCATCATGCCCCAGCTAAGCTGTGAAAGGTGCCCAGGGGAATGGTGAAGCCCTTACCATCTCAGGCAACCCCAGAGCTGGCACCCGCTCCTGTGTGGCCCACAGCCCTCCTCACCTGTAGCTGCCGGGGCCAGCGGGCACTCAGTGTCAGGCTATGGTTGTAGATTTGCAGGGTGACACTGCGGGTGTAGCTGACAGCCTGGCTGCCCCGGTGCTCATTGGCTACAGTAACAGTGAAGTTCGCAGCCCCGGAGGGTGGTCCGTGGCAGGGTGCACTCAGCAGGTACTCGCAGTTGCCTTGGAAGTCGAATCGGTGCCCATCCAGAGTGACGTAATGGGGGTCACCCCAGGCCTGGCACTCAGCTGTGCTGACGGGCTGGCAGCCGTGCTGGCCGGATGGCAGGAGGCCACACACTTCACCCAGCCCACAGCTGGCAGGTGTGCAGACCAGCGAGCCACCCCCAGGCCCGCAGCGGCACCTGTGGGAGCAGGTGCCATCAGCCCAAAACTCACTGCCCGCCTCGTGGTAGGTGCCGTTGGCCCAGCAGCCGCAGCCGTTGTTTAGGGGAACACAGCGGTCAACACTTAGCACGAAACCCGCGTCGCACTGGCAGCCCTCCACACAGGGACCCTCGCATACGGCTGGGGTTGCAGGGGGCGCAGGGGACGGACAGCTGGCCGGGCAGGGTGGGCCGCAGACCTCATAGTGGCTGTTTTCTGGGCAGGTGATCTCTGTAGGCAGATGAAGGAGCAGGAAGGAGAGAAACAGAGAGAAGGGTGTTAGGGTGGGGTCACAGGACAGGATGGAAGGAGACAGAAGGCGACAATAGGGAGCAGACACCGAAAGGGGGAGACAGAGGACAAGACACAGAGAGACAGAGAACACAGAGAAACAAATGGGAGAAAGCAAGAGACCAGGAGACCCAAGAAGAAACTGAGGGAGAGAGAATGAGAAACAAACAGAGACAAGCAAAGCGAGGCACAGAGACGAGCACCAAGAGACAGAGAGACAAACAGAGAGAAAAGCAAACAAAGAGACCCAGGAGGACCAGAGTGAAACCAAACTAGCCCCGAAGAGACGGGAACCTGACCCCAACCCTGTCTGCTACCCCGACACTCACCACAGCCGACCTGTGGCCGCCAGTCTTCGATGACAACCCCAGCGGCCTGGCATGCGGCCACGTAGGAAGCCAGCGCCTTGCAAAGAATGTCGTGGCCCCCACCACCCATGCAGACGTCCAGAACACAGCCCTTGAAGAAGCTCTCAGGTGGCACATGAGCGTGGCAGGTGGCGAAGGGGCCCCCTGCACCAGGGACCAGGGGTCCGCAAAAGCCAGGGCCCTCGTACTGTTCCAACTTGTCCTCAGGGCACGTTGGGCAGGACCCCGGACATACGTCCCAACACAGTGGGTCCCAGCCTGGGACTCGCCAGCTGCCGCCCCAGATGGGTATGGAGGGAGCCAGGGTGCCATTAGGGAAGGCCTGGTCATTGCTGGGGTTGCGGTCCATGTTACCACAGAGCCCGCACACTGCGCCATGATAGCTGCTGGGCAGCGTCACATCTACCCGCCAATTCCAGTCATAGCTGACTTGCAGTCCAAAGTCAGCCACCAGCAGTGCCTTGGATGCACCGTGGGTCACTGAAATCCGCCCGTTGGCCTCGTAGACAGGCAACGCTGTCAGCACACCGTTCACCTTGGGGAAGGAGGAAGAAGTCAAACGGGTCACTGGAGGTGTTACGGCCCCAGCTCTGGCCCTCTGCCTCCCTGTTTCTCACCCTACCGGGGGCTGGGAGAGGCCAAGGCCTTCCTCCGATAGTTGGATCGTCATCGGACACAGTGTGGACATTTGTTCTGGCCCAGGTCTTGGGGAATGAAATCTCACTTTACTCTTTCTAATCTTCTCCCTTGATCTCTATCTCCCTCCCCTGTCTCTGTCTCTGTGTCTCTCTGTGTCTCTCTCCCTCTGTCTTCACCTAAGTCTCTATCACTTGGTCATCTCTCTCTCTCTGTCTCTCTCCCTCCTCGTCCCTTCCTGCTTCCCTCCCTCATTCTCTGTGTGTCTCTTCCACTCACTCACCATCATTCATTCACCGCCTACTCTGTTCCATCCCTCTGTCTGTCTGTGAGCTACCATTAAGCTCTATCTCCATTTCCCTGGGCAGAAAGGACAGCCCATCTCTCTACCCTGACCTCGATATATATATATATATATATTTTGGAGATGGATATTCGCTCTGTTGTCCAGGCTGAAGTACAGTGTCAAAATCTTGGCTCTTGCAACCTCCGCCTCCAGGGTTCAAATGATTCTCCTGCCTCGGCCTCCAGAGTAGCTGGGATTACAGTAGCGCCACTACACCCAGCTAATTTTTATATTTTTAGTAGAGATGAGGGTTTCACCATATTGGCCAGGCTGGTCTTGAACTACTGACCTCAGGTGATCGACCCGCCTTGGTCTCCCAGAGTGCTGGGATTACAGGTGTGAGCCCCCGTGCCCATCCCAATCTCCCTATATTTCTCTCCATGTCCTGGTCTCTGGGCCTCTCACTTGTTCCTTCACAGACACTCAAACGAGTGTTCACCTGGACTAGACTCTGACCTCAGCATGTGACATGCACCACCTTGCTGTGGGACAGGCCCTGATATGACGCCCACTTCACAGATGAGGAAACTGAGGCCTACCAAGTGAACTGCCCAGCATCACCTAGCTCATAAGGAGGAGAGGCTGGATTCAAACCCAGGTCTGTAAAAAAGGGAAATACTGAGGTCCTAGGTTAAAGCCCTTAGAAAAGGGCTAGGCTTGTCTAATTCCCAGGAAGAGGGTGATATTTTTGCTGGAATTATTCTTTTTGCTGACAGTTTGTTTCAGGCCCAGGTGAAGACAAGGAGCCTTGAGCTGCTAACTGTGGTCGTCAGGATCCCTCCTGTCCTCCCGGGGACCTCACATACCCGGACTTTGCCGATCTCGCCCTTGTGGATGGAGATGTTGGTGCCCAGGGCAGCCACAGTGACGACTCTCACGTAGGACACAGCAGGGTTGCCCCGGTTCTCGTTCTTGGTGGTGACGGTGAAGGGCGTCAGGCCCTGGGTGTTGACCCCCGGGCAGCCAGTTGTTGCCAGCACATAGTTACAGGTGCCCTGGAAGTCAAACGCCCGGCCGTCGAAGGAGTGGTAGTGTGGGTCGCCCCACATCCAGCACGTAGCCTCATAGTTGGGCACGCACACGCCCTGGCCACCCTGCTCCTTGCACGTCTCCTGTGGCCGGCATGTCACACCGTCGCACGGGTCTGGGGACAGAAGAGGGAGGACCTTGAGAGGCTGCCCATTGTAAAGGATGGCCGCTCCCTCCACATCTACCCCAGTCTGTGCCAGGTATCTGAGGGTTACCGCAGGCAAGACCAGATTCCAGAGTCCTCATGTCTAGGACCCAGGTCCTGTAGTTTGCGTTTGTATTTTGTTTTGTTTTGTTGGTTTTTTGAGATGGAGTCTTTCTCTGTCACCCAGGCTGGAGAGTAATGGTGCAATCTCGGCTTACTGCAACCTCTGTCTCTCGGGTTCAAGTGATTCTCCTGACTCAGCCTCCCGAGTAGCTGGGATTTCAGGTGCTCGCCACCATGCTTGGCTGATTTTTGTATTTTTAGTAGAGACAGAGTTTGACCATGTTGTCCAGGCTGGTCTCAAGCTCCTGACATCAAGTGATCAGCCAACCCTGGCCTCCCAGAGTGCTGGGATTACAGGCATGAGCCACCATGCCCAGCCTGCTGTTTTCAAGACCAGCCCCTGGGAGTCCCGCACGTCTGACACTGAGGCCCCATGGTGGACTGTGTCTAAGTCTTGGATGTCAAAGATCCCATACCTGAGACCCGGGTTCCAGAGGTCCCTGACAGCAAAGACTCAGGCCCTAGAGTCCCCCTACCTCTAAGACTGAGGCCCTGTCATTTGCTGTGTGAGACTGAGGTCTTGGAGTCCATGCACCTAAGACCAAGACTCTAGGTCTGTGTTTACGATGCAGTTTCCATGGTGTCCTTGCTTGAGATTTCAGCCTGTTCTTGTATTTTAAGTTTTATAGGAACCTCACCCTCTTCACTTACATAGTCTACGGCTGCTTTCACGCCACCATGGCAGAGTGAATAGCTGTGATCGAGAAGGCATAGCCTGCAAGCTTAAACATTTACCATCTAGCCCTTTAGAGAAAAGGTGCACTTGACCCAAGTTGAGATCTGTGCCCCAGGGGTCCTTGTGTCTGCGATGCCTGCCCTGAGAGCATTCATGTCTGAGATCCCAGCCCAGGGGTTCTCTCTGTTCAAGGCCTGGGCCCCAGGCCAGGTGTGGTGGCTCAGGCCTGTAATCCCAGCACTTTAAGAGGCCGAGATGGGAGGATCGCTTGAGCCCTGGAGTTTGAGAACAGCCTGGACAACATAGCAAAACCCCGTTTCTACAGAACAATTAATAAATTAGGCTGGCATGGTGGTGTGTGCCTGTAGTCCCCCGCTACTCAGGAGGCTGAGGCAGGAGGATTGTTTGAGCCCAGGAAATCGAGGCGCAGTAACCTACACTACACTCCAGTTTGGGTGACAGAGTAAGACCTTATCTCAGAAAAAAAAAAAAAAAGAAAAAAAGATCTAGGCCTCAGGGTCCCGCATGCCTGAGACCTCAGCCCTCTGGACGTCTCCACATTTGATAGCAATTGGTCTCCAATTTCTCCAGGTCCTGGAGGCCTCTGTGCCCTAGACTGGGGCCCTGGGTGATCTTCTGGCAAGAGCTCAGTGCCAGGGGTCTCAGCATGATTTGAAACGTTTGAGGCCCTAACTAGCTAAGTCTCATGGCCTGGGCCTCCCTCAGTGCAAAACTCCATCCCGGAGGGTTGCTATATTCAAGCCAGTAGCCTTGAGGGTGTCTCACTGCTGAGGCCCTGTCCTGGAGGGCTTCTGTGTCCAAGACCCTGTTCCTACAGTTACTACATCTGAGACCCAGCTTGTGGAACCCCTGTGTGGGAGAGGCCAGTCTTCAAATGTTTCCTTCCTCCTGTGCCTGTTACCAATGTACCGCCTCTCAGCTTCAGATACACCCGCGGAGTTAAGCTTTGTCAACAGAGGGCGCTGGAGAGTCACTGCAGCAGGGAGGGGCTCCTGGTCTGGCTTCCAGCTGGTTTGGCCCTTCCAGCTCTGGCCAGGGTGTGTGGCCACAGTCAGTGAGTGCCACGGGTCCCAGCTGGCTTCCCAGTGAGGGGTTTCCTTCTTGCCAACTCCAGCCTGCAGAAACCTCTGTGCCACCCAGTGGGCTACAGCTGCAGTACGATTGGACTCAGCCTTGGGGCTGATTCTCCCCTCCTTGAAGAAGAGGGGCCAATTTCTCCCTTCCATGAGGCCTCTACCTTAGCCCTAGAAGTGGGGGCTACTTCCTCTGTCTGCTTTGGTGGTATTCTTTAGTGTTCTCTTTACCGTTTCTTATTTCTATTTATTTGTTTGTTTGTTTGTTTGTAAAGAGACAAGGTCTTGCTGCCTTGCCCAGGATGGAGGGCAGTGGTACAATCATAGCTCACTGCAGCCTCGAACTCCTGGGCTCAAGTGATCCTCCCAACTCAGCCTCCTGAATAGCTGGGACCACAGGCGTATATCACCACGCCTGGCTACGTTTAAATTTTTTGTGGAGACGGGTGTCTCGCTATGTTGCCCAGGCTGGTCTTGAACTCCTGGCCTAAAGCAATCCTCCCAAAGTGCTGGGTGTGTCAGCCACCGCACCAGGCCCTCTTTACCCGTTAATAGTTAATCTCCTATTAATAAGTAAATGATTCTTTAATTGAACTTCCCTCATTCAAATGGCTGGGTGCTTTCTGTCTCTCCACTGGATGCTGAGTGATATACCCCCATTCCTGGGAGTCCCATTGTCCTGCTCATCACGCTGAGAGTCTTAGCCTAAGCTTTGGTGCTGGAGCTCCTATTCTCGTATCCATGTGGGGAGGAGGGTTCTCTGCTCGTCGTCCTAAGAAATGAGCCCTGGGGGTGGCTCTGTGTCCCAGATTTAGTCTGGGGGGTTCCCACATCGGAGACTATACCCCTAGAAATCCTGATCTCCCACTTGAGAGGGGTCCCCATATCCAATGTTCTGCCTTGGTGGGGTCTCTGTGCCTGAGACTCAGAACTCTGCTCTGTCCCTGTCCCGGGGATCCCAGTCTCTCCCCTGCCCTTTGGTGCTAGTGTCTGAACCCCAAGCCTAATTCCACGCACCAGCGGTCAGCTCACCATGGCCCCCTAGGCTGCTGCTCTTGTATTCTAAAGTCTTATAGCAGCCTCACCTCTTCACTTATATAGTCTACAGCTGCTTTCATGCCACAGTGGCAGAGTGAGCAGTTGGAACGAGACCATACAGCCTGCAAGCTGAAACATTTACCATGTAGCCCATATCAGCAAAGGTGCGCCTGTCCCTGCCTTATACCGAGGGTCTCTGACATCAACCCTGAGAAACCTCTGAGGGTCCCCACAGCCTGGATTTTCCCTAAGGGTCCCTGCCTCCCACAGTAGGTGGCCCTGGCCCTGTGAAACCCAGCCCAGGGGTCTCCAGGTCTGCGACCTCCATCATTAGTCCTGTGCACCTCCCGCCATGGACACCGCAGTCACATCACCCTCGGCCCCAGAGTCCCTGTACTCCATCCATAGTCACATCAGCCCCAGTCCCAGCCCAGCCCAGCACCTTTGGTGATGCATCTCAGGACGCCTCCGGAGGGCTGGCACACCTGCCC